TAATACAACTGTGAGAAACAGTGAAGAAGGTCTCTGTGTATGAATATGAAAAGATCTCCCAGATATGCGGTTGAATGAACAAGGCAAGGTGCAGATAACGTGTATAATACGCTACTTTTTGTATGAAAGGGGGAAAATAAGAACATACATTTGTATTTGTACATGTATAAACAAAGAGCTTAGGAAAGATGCAGCGATGGCCAGGATTACTGGATGGATGTGGGAACTCAGTGAACACTTTGCTTTTTAATGCCAGTGGTTGATACTGCCACTCTCTTCTTCCCTTAGTAATAGAACCTTTCAGATTTTAGCTGACCACATGACCAGCCAGTTAAAAATCCCATTTCCTAGACTGTCTTGCTGCGAGGTGGGGCTGGTAACTAAAACCTTGCCAGTGAAATGTGGGCAGAAGTTATGTGTTCAATTTCTAGGATTCCTGCGATGTTCCCGCTCTGGCAGCCTGGAACACAACCTGCTAATGGTGAATCAGTTTTTACCATGTGGATGAGGACAATATTCTAGGAGATGGCAGGATAAAAAACAGAAAGGCTTGGGTCCCAAAATGACCCAGTGGAACAAAGCCTGCCACACCAGACCACTTTCCTCTCTCTGGAATTATCATGCCATAAAAGTTGTACTTCTGTCTCTGTATTTTGGGTCTCTTTTTTACAGCAACTTAGCCTGGACTCAGCTAAAATAGAAAATGATATTTAGATATGAGTTTCCATGATCAACAACAGTGCATTGGCTTAGCAGCTGGCAAGGNCATAAAAGTTGTACTTCTGTCTCTGTATTTTGGGTCTCTTTTTTACAGCAACTTAGCCTGGACTCAGCTAAAATAGAAAATGATATTTAGATATGAGTTTCCATGATCAACAACAGTGCATTGGCTTAGCAGCTGGCAAGGGAAAATGGTAAGCAAATAAACATTGCAGACTGACAAGCTGGTAATCCTTGTTATTACTGCAGCAAAAAAACTTCACTAGAGCATCAATAACTTGTAAGACAAGCCATGTGTCATCTGAACTTGTGCCTTTAGGGCAAACAGTGAGAAACAGGGTACTGATGGCTCCTCCATGTTTTTAATGAGCTACTACAAGAGTTAAGATGAAAATAAGCAAGAACTGGTCAGTGTGCAAGCAGAAATAAATATAGCATAAGGGTGTACATTCTGAGTTCCACAATATGAATTAGTTGAGACTCAAAACATTTGGGACCCAATGGGGCTGGAAAAACCAATTGCTCTGGACCCAAAAAGCAGGAGGCCAAGATTTTCTCTCAAAGCCTCCAAGAAATTCTCCAGTTAAGTATTCTCCGCCAGACATGAGCATCAGTTCATTTATAAAGATCAGATTTAGGCTACAGTCTCAAGACAGTTGCCATCAAAATGAGGCAAAGATGCGCTGGCCACGAGCAAAGAGCAGTAACTACTCCACAGTGCACTGACTTTAAAGCTTAGACCCAGAAGAGATGTTTGGCAGTGGGTATTTTGACCTGGAACTGACTGGAAGCAAACAGCCCAGAAGCCTGCTGAGTTTCTGAGGGGTCTGGACTGCCGCACGCTTGGCCTTGTGTAAGCCTGGGACTTTTCTGGTCCCTTAAAGAAACCACAAGACTTCTAGACCTACACCCGCAGGAAACATGTTCTTAAGCTAAGCAGCTTTCTCCAAAGTTCTCCAAAGCTCAATTTAAAAGCAGTTACAGTGGGAACCAGATAAAGAATCCCCTAGAAGGCAAAGTGGGGAGCCATGGAGGAAAATGGACAAGGGGATTCTAGTGAGCAGAAACAAAGTGTAGCCAGAAGCTCCTGCTCTGTGACTACAGGACGTCTTTGCCATCCCTGCTGGGCAGAATTCCATTACTGTTATGATCTAATGACCGCTCGTATTTCTTATTCTTTTTCAAACAGGAGTTTGTATTACGGCCCCTGCTCTATCTTCTATGTTGCATTTGGGAGGTGGGGAGTGGAGGATGTGACTGTTCTTTCACAGCTTTTCAGAGTAAGAGGAACCATGTCCTGATTGCCTCATATCACACAGAAACCTTAGATTTTAGACTGCCAGCATTAACTGGATGAGACTCTGATGTCTCAGGATGGAAGGAATGTGCTCTGTATGTGGGAAGAGGAATGCACACAGATACCTGGGTTGCCAGGGGGGCAAACTGAAGCAGAGGCTGCTAAAATTTCCCCTAAGACCACTCTTCTTCCTATACAGAAGAGGAGCCCCCCGTGTTAACTGGTCACAAGGCCCCCCAGTCAGAGACGACCCTCCTCGGTGTCCTTTGCTGTCAGCTGTGTCTTTGTGATTGAAGACTTGACTGTGGGTTATGAGAAGTTATGTATGGAACTTCTGGCTTTTCCCTCCTACCTGTGGGCTGCAATGCAGATCCAGTGGTGGTGAGCGGCTCTGAACAGGTGAGAAGGGCATCTGAGAACACAAAAATCTCTCCTAGGAGAGCAGTGTGGGCCCCGGATGATTGTGGGAACAGTAGGCTGCCCATACTGATCACCTGCCTACTTCTAGACCATTTCATGGAGAAGAATCTTCTGTCTTATCTGAACCAGTGTATTTCAGGGCCTCTGTTACCACCATTTAGCCAGGACTCTAACTAACATAATACCTCCTTTTAATTTTGGGCTTTTGAACCAGGAGAATGTATTGCCTCCTTGGGAAATTAATTTTTCAAAAGGAGTAATAATTTTTTTAAAGTGTCAAGATCCCAATAAAAATGTTCTTTTCCTCAGTATTACTTCTGAGACACAAAACTCAGGAAATATTTCAAATACAGAAAAGTATATATCACAGCTCCAAAATGTAAAGGAGCAGTTAAAAAAAATTAGAAACATGCCAACTGCTCAACCACAGGGAATAAGGGATGGATTAATGGGACAGCTCTAACATTCGACCGCTATTAAAATAATCAGCAGGGATTTCCCTGGTGGCCCAGTCATTATGAATCCGTCTGCCAATGCAGGGGACACGGGTTCGATCCCTGCTCCGGGAAGATCCCATATGCCGTGGAGCAACTAAGCCCGTGGACCACGACTACAGAGCCTGCGCTCTAGAGCCTGCGAGCCACAGCTTCTGAGCCCACATGCCACAACGACTGAAGCCCTCACACCCGAGCCCGTGCTCCTCGACAAGAGAAGCCACTACAGTGAGAAGCCGCGGACCCCAACCAGAGAGTAGCCCCTGCTCGCCACAACTAGAGACAGCCCACGCGCAGCAAAGGAGACCCAGTGCAGCCGAAGATGAATACATAATTTTTTTAAGCCATCAAAATGAAAAATATGCAGGACAATGGCAAGAAAACCTGAGCATAACTGGTGTTCCTGAAGAAGAAGGAAAAATGCAGAGAAAAGTTGAGTATTTCATGGTAGAAGAAAAGGTTCCTGAAATTAAGTCATGTCTCTGGATCAAAAAGGAAGAACTATTCCAGAAAAAAAAAAAGTTCAGAAACATCACAGATAAAGCATCTATAGGGACCTAAACAACAGAGGCTTTTCTGAAACAACCAGTATCAGAAGACAGCAGAACAATATTTACAGCATCCTGAGAAGAGAAAAGAAAAGATGTAAGAATCTTATACCCAAGCCAAGAGTAAAGGGGAAAGACCAACAGCATTAAGCATGCAAGATTTCAGAGGAGGCAGCACCCACGATCCTTTTATGACAAAAAAAAAGTGCTTGATGGCAAAATCCAACCAAGAAATGTATCAGGAGCTCAGTAAGTCAGTTAAGCCAGGGATGTGGTTGTAAACATATAAATGAGACTTAAGAATCATGGGAATTATGATTACAGAACTAAATGTAATAAACCTCACAATATATAAAGTTAAGAAAAAAATTAGGGGAGGAGTTCTGGGGAAAAGTATAACATAACTGACTGTCTACACCTAAAACACAACCTAAAAACACCAATGACACCTACACAAAGATTTGTATACTTTATTGTATATATGCCATTTCTCAGTAAGAATAATACTGTATCTTCATGTTTTTCAGAGTCTTTTGTCTTTAACTTGGGAGGAATATTCCAAGAAATAATACATCTTACTGTGAAAAAAACACTCAAACTTTGACAATTTCTTCAGTTTCACTTACTCCTTTCCTCTGATATATACAAATACATTAAACCAATTCTACTTTTGGAAAATTATGTTTTTTAGAATGACATTCACTGAATATTGACAATGGACATTTCATCTTACTAAGTGCTAAGATTTGGGAGAATTTTAAAAGTTCATTTGTACTTTTAACTAATTTTTAAATAATAAACATCTTCCCCACAAACTACATTTCATATTCTTTCAAAGATGCTGATCAAGAAAGACAGTTATATGAAAAATTAAAATAATGACATATTTTAAAAGGATGGGATGTTAAAAGTATGTACAGTGTATGGTGCCAAGCATATAAATAATGTTTTAAAGTACACACACACATGCATACCAGAAAAGAGGCAAATGTGCTAAAATTTTGACAGTGCTTCAGGGATTAGTGATAGATTTCTTCCTCAAAAATCTGAAATAAAATTAGGTTACCCACATAATGGGGAAAAATATGAAATAGTAACAGTTTTGCAGCTTATGTTAAAAATTCCCTTCCTATTAATTCCCTCCCATGATAACGATTACTCCAAATAATAAATGATGAGGTCTTAAAAGAGTTGAGGGTGGGAGTTGGAAGGGAGGTCTAATTGTGGTTGAGGGGAAGTAAAGATCACTGTACACGTCAACAAACTGATTAAACAAAACTGATGATAGTGCTAAAATAAACTGAAAGCAAAATCGACCCCAGCTTTCACTCGAGAGTGAAGGATCAGTACGCAGGACGCAGGCTGAAACACAAAGACCACAGCCGGAGGCATGAAACTTGGCCATGGAAGTTCCCGGACAGGCACCTACTGCTCTGATTGATGCACGACGACCTTTAACCCCGAGGGCTCATCACCATCACCCGCCGGCCCCCGCCGCCTCCCGGCCCGTGGCCCACGCACCGAACTTGGTTCTCCAGGAAGTGCATGTGCCGGTACAGCAGGGTGTAGGATGGAGACAGGATGCCCACGGACTTCATCCGCGCGCCACGCTCCAGCTCGCTTTCCACCGGCATGTTGGCGAAGCAGGCCAGGCCGAAGAAGGGCCCCTTCCGGAAATAGCTAAAAGAAACCCAATATGTAGCATAACTCAAAATCAGGAATTTTGGTCTTTTCCCTTGACAGGTGTGCTAAAGTCACTTCAGTGTCCAACTCTTTGCGACTCCATGGACTGTAGCCCACCAGGCTCTTCTGTCCATGGGGATTCTCCAGGCAAGGATACTGGAGTGGGTTGAATGCCCTCCTCCAGGGGATCTTCGCCACCCAGGGATGGAACCTACATCTCTTATGTCTCCTGCATTGGCAGGCAGGTTCTTTACCATCAGGAGCATCTGGAAATCCCTTGAGAGGCATCCCAAATAGAAGATGTAACTGTGTCCAGGGCTCTACATGAGAAAGTTCAGCCTGAGAAAAACCTTTTTTAAAATCTCAGGGGTGGGGGGGCGGATCTCAGGGGGACAGTGAGCCCAAGCCATTCAGCCGTACAGATGGGACAATCAAGGCTCAAAAAAACCCTGGAACTCACTAAGGGTTGTCCCGCTGGAGCCAGGACTAGGTCTCCGCAAAGCCTGCTGTTCAGCTGCCCTTGACCCCAGATCAACTGCCTGTGACCGTGACCCTTCTTTCCTGCGTAACAGCTGACTTGATGTGTGACCTCTGTTTTATTAGCATAAACTGTGTTGATTCTCTCCTCGCTTCCTGAGTCTCTGATGTTTTTAATAGAACATTTGACCAGAGCTGTCACTCGTTTTCCTTCCCCTTTCTCACACTTGTGCCTGTCACGGTTTCAGCCCAATGAGAAGATGAAAGCTACTCCGTCACCCTTATGTTCCAGTTGTTCCTCACAAGAATCTTAATCACACAGGACTACAAATTGGCCTTGCTTAAAGCTGAAATTTCAAGTTTTAGCACATACATGTCTTGAGTTAACCCAAATGGAACCAAAACCTCAAGCGAGATCATTAAAGCCAAACCTCAAGCGAGAATCAATCATCTCTTAGAAAAGGCAAGAACCTCTATGGTAGGAGTTCTTAACGTTGTTGGGTCATGATAACCTAACGAAAGCTTGGGAGCTTCTTATTACAAAACTGATATAAAAACACAAAACGGTACATATATTTTCAGGGCACTTATACACACTTCCTAAAGATGCCCTGATGACAGCTCTTATTCTCTGGGGAAAGCAGAGAAGGAGAGGAAACAGTGCAGAGCAGACTGGCAATCAGCACTACTTACATGAAATCAGACTGAATTTTATGGGATCCACTAGCCATAGACTTGAACTCCACGCCTTCAAGGTCAATATCTTGGGGTAAGCACCATTCCACCATGTTTCCTGCAGGAAAGGGAAGATACAAGTTTAAAACAGACAAAAATCATTCAAAGGGCTTAGTGCAGGGCCGAGTGCATGTGGCTTCCAAGTAAATGAACTGCTGACTCAGCCACCAAAATGCAGCCTCATCCCTCCACCGGCCACAGGCTGGCAGAGTGCCTGAGTCATCCTGCGGGCCGGGAGATGGGCACTGAAGACACCTCTGATCTCTGCCTTTGAATGAACACAGTTCTTCCTAGCGAGGCTGCTGGCTTTGCTTCTGCCATTCTGCCATCTCCTGATCTCCTTTGTTTTGTAGCCTCACTTCTAGGTACATGTTTTGACTCTCTACCTCCATTTCCTGGTCTCATACTCTCTCCTTAACCCCTCAAGATCCTGCTTCCATCTTGCTTTTCTATAGCCACTAATGATTTTGACAAACCTCCAAACTCTTTTTTAAATTTTTTTAAAAAATTTACTTATTTGGCCGCGCCAGGTTTTAGGTGCAGCATGCAGGATCTTTAGTTACAGCATAAGGGATCTAGTTGCCCAGCCGGGGGTAAAACCTGAGCACCCCCTGCACTGGGAGTGCAGAGTCTTATCTGCTGAGCCACCGGGAAGTCCCCCAAACTCTTTTCAATTCAAATTGTCATTGGTTTCACTGTGGCATTTGATAATTCCTCAAAAGTCTCTCCCATTTTTCCCTTGACTCCCATGATGGAACACTCTCTTGGTTCTTTTCCTTCTTCTCTGGCCAGTGGAGCCCTGCTGCCTTCCCTAGTTCTCCTCCCTCCTCAAATGAGGCTCTTCTCCAAGGTCCAGACACCGGTGCTTTGCTTCCAGAATTTAAGGGCTCATTCGCTTATTCCTAATTACTGAGTTTCTGCTGAGCCAGACATCAGAGCTGGAAGTCAAATAAGACATAGTCCCTGAACTCAAACAGATTAGCTTCCAGGGCTAGATAAAGAGATAAACAAGGAGACTGGTGATTACAGTTCTGGAGGTTATGTTAAATTCCATGACAGAGTATAATACAGGATTTTAGAATATAGCAATGACAAGCTTCCATCAGATTGAGAGAATCAGAGAATTTCATAAGACCAGTGTTTCCTAGAGGCTTGGGAGGACACGACAGCATATGCCCTGCTGTTTTCTAGCATATTCAAAGTTTTTCCAAATAAAAATATTAAGATACTTGTAAAGATTTCATTTTAGAACAAGCTGCTCATCAACATGGCAAACCCTAATTTCGCAGGCAACAGAAATACCATTAATAATCCCAGACAAAAATGCTTTTCAGATAACTGTTTGGGGCATCAGAGGTCCGACTGTATACAACCCAGGCTCTGAACGGGGTGGACATCACAGGGACTCAGCCTATTCTATATTCACAGCCTATGGCCCTTTCAAGTAGTTTGTTTTCAAGAGAGGAATCATAAATCCCAATGATGAGCTAAAACAAAAAGCATGGAAAAAGGAGTTATGATTTAACACAACAGAAAGGCTAAACCAATGTTATTTGTCAGGGTTAAAGACAAGAAAAAGCATGCTGCATGCTGAACCAGGGTAAGCATGGGGAGAAAGGTAAGGTTTCCAGCACCAAGGTCCCCCGACATGCCTGTCTTTCCTCTTAGCATCCATGTCTCCTGTCTCTTAAGTCCAGTGGCGTCCACCCTGTGTTGTACCTCCGGAAACCTAGGAAACTTACAAACGTGCTGAGACCCACTCCAAATCTACATGATCTACTCCAGATCTATGATCTGTGCCACGTGGCTGCATCTGCTGATAAGCCTCCTGTGTACAAGGTCCCAATTCTTTTTTAAAATAATATTTATTTATTTGGCTGCACCAGGTCTTAGTTGCAGCATACAGGATCTTCTATCTTTGATGTGGCATGCAGGCTCTCTAGTTGCAGCATGTGGGATCTAGTTCTCCAACCAGGAATCGAACCTGGGCCCCCTGCATTGGGAGCACAGTCTTGGCCACTGGACCACCAGGGAAGTCCCCAGGGTCCTAACCCTTCATGATGGCAACAGATGTCCAGCTGAAGAGAGGGACAGCCTGCACTGACCCTCTAGGAGACCCCGTCCTCTCATATCTGCTTCTTCTAGTATCTGCTGCCTTGTTCCGCGTCCCTATGCCACTCCATACAAGGGATCAACTTGCTCTAACTTAATTCCCTTCCTCTAATCCAGCAGGTCCATGAGCACTCAATGACTTGTTAAAACATTAATGCATCTAAACGTTGTCCTGAAGGATAAGTTTAGAAAAGTGCACAGATCAGCACTATGTGGCACAGTGAGTTTTCCCAACGTGAACATACCTGGGTGAGCAGAACCCAGACCAAGAAGCAGGACATTATCAGCACAGCAGAAACCCATCTGAGTCGCTAGCCCTCTCTCAAGGCTAACTATTATCCTGACTTCTAACACCACAAATGAGCTTTGCTGTTTTTGAAATTTACATAAATGCAATCATCATTTGTATTCATGTCTTTTTTTTGCTCCATATTTTTTGCAAGATTCATCCATGGGGATGCATATAGCAATATTTTGTTAATTTAATATTTCCATCCTATGCTAGTGACACAACTTACGTATCTACTTAACTGTTGACGCACACTTAGCTTATTTCTTATTTGAAGCCATTAGAAACAGCACTGCTGTAAATAATTCCATACTTGTCATCTGGTGACTGCACATGCAGTAGCTTTGTAACGCATGACCCGGCTGGGCTAGTACACATTTCTCAGAATTCCCTTCTTTGTACGTTTGCAGTTGAGACGGGGAAGGGGAAGTGAAGCCATACAATGTTTGTGTGGGAAGGTCAGTGAGGGAGCTTCAGGTAAGCTGACACCTGGTGCTTATCGTGCAGGCTCATCACACTCTGGTGGGGCTGGGGCACCAGGTCTGCTGCTGATGCATCTCCCTCCCCTGGACCCTCTTTCAGCTTCTGACTCACACCCCAGGTACATGCTTAGTTCCACAGTGAAGGGCATCAGCGTCATCGGGTCAGGACACCGCGTCATTAGAACTGGAGGCAATGACAGACTGGCCGTTCCCACCCACTCTCATGAGTTGCAGCTTATTCTCCTTTTCCAGTTTCTTCTGCTTTACTCAAGAGACCTCCAGCTCCGCAATCAGATACAAAGACAGCAGCTTTACACAGACTATCTATCCAGCTCCCACAAATGCACAAGATCAATAAATCCCTTTATTTATCTCCAGTGGTTCTGTTTCTTTGACTAAACCTTGATTTTGACTGACACAATGTGCACACATTTCTGTTGACAAAATCCCTGGAAGTGAAAGTCTTGTAAAAATGTTTGCATTGCTGCAAACTAAGAAAAAACTTCAATAATTCCCAAAGCAGTGTTTCCCAAAGCTTAGGGCTTCAGCAAATATATATATATATATATATATATATATATAAAGGGATTTTTCAGATTAAACAAAGACAGACATGTTCCTTTACTGCAGAACTTCTCAGAGCCTTTAATGTTATTCTGCATTATGAATATCTATGAGATCAATACCATGCTTAAAATTCCAAAATTATTCTGCTGATAAACCTATTTTTAAGTAGCATCTTAAGGGTTCAATCTTATAGAAGGCTCTTTTTTAATAAAGAAATACTAGTATTTAAGGGGCTGCAAGTTGACTCTTAGTACATATCACTCCACCTTTCTTATAGGGAATAAAACTTATTCTTAGCATGGCATATGGTCTTCCAAATGATGACTATGTTTCTCTCCACCTTCTTGTAAATAGGAATGGCTACACAAGTAAATTCTGGCTAATGGAATCTAGACAGAAATGAGTTGTGTCTTTCTAAAACATGCCTTAAAAGAAAAGCGTATCCTGCCCCCTTCTTCCATCCTATTGCCTGGCATATGGATGTAGAGACAAGCCATCTTGCATCACATAGGTGAGGGCATCAGCCCACATATCACAGAGGGGATGATGGAGCAATAGCCAGCATGAGTCTAGGTCCGTGGATGACCTCATGGACCTGAGCCGGCACTCCAGCCCTGGACCACTGATCTCCTGTTAAGTGAAAGCTAAACTTTTATCTTGATTAAGTCACTGTTAATTTGGGTCTCTGGTATTCATCTTTCCTGGTGGCTCAGTGGTAAAGAATCTGCCTGCCAATGCAGAAGACATGTGTTCTATCCATGGGTTGGGAGATCCCCTGGAGAAGGAAATGGCAACCCACTCCAGTATTCTTCCCTGGGAAATCCCATGAACAGAGAAACCTGGCGGGCTACAGTCCATGGGGTCGCAAAAAGTCAGACATGAATGAGCGACTGAGCACATACACTTCTGGTATTCATGGCCAAACATATATCTTAATATACGTTAGTACACATATTAATACAGCTTATACAGCTTAATACAGCTGATCTGAAGAATAAAGCCCCCAATTCCTCAGCCTAATTCTCAAAGCTTCTTTCTTATTCTTCTGTGCCTGGCCAACCCTCGTACAGAAATTGAAAGAATCAGATGAAGGGAATGACACTCTGCTATTTGCATCCTTCACTGCTAGATGGGTGCAAGCCCCTCTCGGTTGGGAAGGAAGGTCCATCACGGTCAGGCTGAATCATAGAATGGAGTGTGGACTCCAGGACACCACTCTGGGAACGGTTCTTTATCCCACAGAAAGAACATTTCTGCTGACATACTCCTTGAATGAAAGGAAAGTAGATAAATCTACTATGGCCCTCATCCCAGCCTAATACAATCACTGTCTTAGATGTCTGTCTCCCCAGGAGACTGGACTTCTTAAAGGCAGGAACTCGGCTTGTTTATCTTTATGTCCCAACAGAGCACAGTGCTTAGCATATGACAGGATGAACATTAAAACAAAAACAAAAACCCAGCTTTACTGAGGACAAGCATGATTTTAAAAAGCTAGTGGTAATGATAGCCTGGTTTTTTAAAAAGTTTTTGTTTTCTAATGTGGGACTGTTTTTAAAGTCTTTATTGAATATGTTACAATATTGCTTCTGTTTTATGTTTTTGGTT